CTGAGGGGGGAAAATCCCTTTTATGATTAATTGGTTATTTTTTCCTCCTTACCCTATGATGACAGATATTTGCAGTTTATTCCACATTTCCCTCCCTGGAATACGATATGATCCTCTATAAATAAATGGGACCATTTCAAGATTATTTACAAGTAGGACCTGTCTTAACACAGGTCGTCACCCAATGAGATGCTTCATCTCAACCCTTTAATTCTGAACCCTACTTAATTCCTTACCAACAATGCACTCCACGCTTATTCCTTATGCCTCTGCTTTAAAATGACTTATGTGTAAAGTTTATGAATGTTTTTTGAAAAATGAATCACATCTGCCAATTCATCCCAAATCTCTTTTGCCACATTCAAAATCTAAAAACGGAGAATGTCATGTGTTTCTAAGTGTGATGTTTAAAGTTTGCATCATCAACAAGTTAGTATTTTATGCCATCACAGTGCTGAAGAAAGAACAAAAACTTCCTGTCTCCTAGACTTATTATTTAATAACGAGCAAGGACAACGACAAAAGTGTGTGGGCCACAGGAAAAGGGGCCCTCCGAGCTCCAGTTCCAGCTGCCACTCACTCTAATAAATCTACAACTTGAACTCCAGAGTTTTACACTTCAGATGTGAACAGTCTGATGAATTCAAGCTGATTGCAATAACCTACAGAATGAATGTTTACAATGAGAAATAGTTTAATTCCTTCTTAATTTCCATCACTGCAACAATTACAATCAGTGAATATATTCTTGTTAATGATCCCAGAATTCTATTAGATGAGATTAGAGGCTTATTTTTATATAAAAAACATTCCGTCTTAGAATTTCCTTTTTTAGGACGTCGAAGTCCAAGTTTCTGCCTTTGGGAACCTGGGAATGGATTTTCTGTGTCTATTTTTTATTTTTTTTATTTAGGAGATTACTCTATTTCCTTTCTAGCCTTGAATTGTTTTGTGTTTAGTTAATTGCTAATAATATTTAAACATATTCTTAACAGGCTATCTCTAATGAGTAACGCTTTTTAGAAAGCACATCATCCCTTATCTATTACTGCCTGAAAAAAATATAAATTGCATAAATTATCTGGAGTGATGTGAAAAATCTGAACCTTTAACCGTGTAGTAAATGGCAACATTTCTCCCTTATTTTAAATAACATCATTGGTTCTCAGCACCCTGTACACCCTTAAAATCATTGATGACTCCAAAAGAATTCCTTATGTGAGTTACATCTATTAATATTTACCATATTAGAAATTAAAACTGAAACATTTAAAAATAGGTACTTGTTCATTTATGAATAAAAATAATAAACCCAATGCCTATTAACACAACATGTTTTATGAAGAATAACTATCTTTTCCAGAACAAAGACATTTTAGTGAAAAAGTGGCATTACTTTTGCAGTTTGCAAATCTCCTTCGTGTCTGGCTTGACAGAAAACAGCTGGATTCTAACATCTGCTTCTGGATTCAATCTGTTCCAATATGCTTTTTCACTGATGTTTCTGAAGGAAATACAGCCTCATTCAGATATAGCTGGGGAAAGGGAGCACATTTTAATAGGCTCTGAAGATAATGGTGGCTCTTTCTTTTTGATATTAAAACAAAACTTGATGAGTGGTAGTTTCTTACAAGTTAATTGCAGTATGACACCTGGAACTGCCCCC